AAAACAAGGTTAAGTTATCTGCCTCTACAGGGGTCGTCATTGGCTAGGGTGCGCCATGTGTTAGTGGAAACTGGCAAATGCTGTCGGACAGTCAACTTGGTGTACTTGGTGTACTACAAAATGAAAGTTTTCAACAGATTTGAATATGGGTGTGGTTTTTGGCTCAGTGCAATACCATTTTCATACCTGTGAGCCATTTTTATTATTGTATATGTTATTTTAGAACTGATGCGCTAGCGGCCGACGTCAAAATCGAGAAATCGTACATTTTCACAGCACTCGACTAATAGAAGCCAGAACATCAGTAGATATTTGTGTAGAGATGTTGCCTATGATGTGGGGCATTGTCACAGTCAAACCCCAGTGAATGACGCTCTTAACACGAAGCTCCGAGAGGAACCAATCTGATGAAATTCAAAGTTTATTGATTTAGACTGACTATCGTTCGGAATTCACCTTCAAGAACAATCCCCAGTTCATTCAATCAACCATACACTCGGAAGCACCAGACTCGAGTTTAAATTCGCTAGTACTGGGCTCAAATGGCTTCTCATGGCCACACCGTCATCGTGCTATACTGGATTTTCTTTTCAAATTTATCACGAAAAACGCTTGTTTCAATAGCCGGAGGTGTTTTTCAGTAACCATTCCAGTTGCATTCATTCTTGCATGTTCTTTGACTCCACCTACTTCTCCCTTTCTATCACCTCCGTACGTGTTGTCTGTAATCAAAAATGCCTTTAGAAAGGCATTTCCACACATTGAAGTGTTTCGTACGCGGTACTTGCTATCTTAAATTCACATTCGTGTCCTCCTCTTTGAGTCTTCTGACTCCAACTATTTGTCGCTCTATACATACTCGACTGTGTCCCACCCGATGAATGAAAATCATTCTGTGCATACATGCCGCAGATATCGGCAACACTGTTACCGTTATTCACTGATTTGCAAAAAACATTGATCGGGTGATTCGAGAAACAGAGAGGAAGAGATACGGTTGGTTGTGCTAGAAATCTCATTTGCGGACCTCGGTTTTAGTTTCAAACAATGTCCTACCGTTATTTGTATCCCTACAACGTGTATCTTTGCCATATCTAACCTACTGGCAGTGCCTCATTCAAAACGCGTTCACAAGAAACAAACAAACATCGTTCTTTGTCTGTATCTGCTTAATGCATACAAATGTTACGTTCATTTTTGAACCGAAAGTCCGCTATTCAAATGTACCGTTTTTGTCGCTATGCGGAACTATTCGCTTATATAGAACATAAATGAGGGAAAGTTGTCGCGATTGGTTTAAAAATGTTCCTAAAACTTCGCCGCTTGTAAGCAATGGAAAGATTTTTTGAGAACCGACAAACGGCACTGGACACGAACACAACAGGTGCGCACTGCTAACGAGTCTCACCCAGCTGTACAGTGCTCTTTGTCGGGCACCCCATATCTTTCCACTGCTTATAAATGCATTCAACTAGTGCAGAACAACTGATCTTCCAAGGAGTAAAACGCACAACCCAGATCATCCATCAACAGTGCCCGATGCATGTGTACAATCGAATGGATTATTNTGTTTAAATTAACGTGGATTGTTGTGAGTGTTTGAATAGGGTTGTTAAAATTGTGTCCAACTGTTTGTTCCCCAGGTGAAATGCGAACATTTGGTTATTGTTTTCCCGTTCACTAGTGAAAACCAAACTGCCGCTCCGTGGTCGAATTATACTGTTTCAGTCTCACGCGATGCAAACTAATCATTTTGTTATGTTATTCCAGTGCTGTACGCATTTGTCCAATCAGAATGACATTCCTAGCTTTCTCAGAGTAGATAATCGATGGAGTGAAACAGAAATCAGTTTATTCTTCTTTGTTTCCGTGTCCCGTTTCTCAGAGATCGACATCCGATCGTCGAGCTCCGGCCGGGATAAAGCCATCTGTAAACGAAACGATTGAACTGTTGGTCAACCCTGACACACCGGTCTCACCGACTGTGCGTGAACTGGCCCGTGAGATCCGAGATCACTTTCGTAGTGTTGTTCTGTTCAATCGATTCTGTCTGGGGACCAACGCTCCGTTGCCCACATCGGATACGTTGTCAGGCAGTGCCGGCAAATCACATTTGTTGGCTAATAACCAATACAATACCACGATTGCTGAACGGAAAGCAATTGTTAAGGTGAGTTGCACGTGAATGGATCGGACGACGATAGGACGCTTAACGTTATATCGATCGGGTTAAACATCTCACACATTCTTTGAAATTTCAAAACAGGTCGTTGCTTGAAACTGTCTAGAGGTCATTTCATCGATCTGAAGGTCCTGTGTCCGAATCCCATCATGATCATGATCATCATCATCTGAATCTTCTTTGCATCTTACCGCATTCCTTTCGGATTCGCGAAAGAGGGTAAACTGTCTAGATAGTTATATCGGACTTCACATCGATCAGGGTCCCCTAAAGTGCCCCTATTTTGGCCTAGTAATCCAAACCTTCACTGAGTTTTAACGGTAGGGCTTGAACTTGTTCTTATCCGAACTTGATTGACTATTTGAATAAAAAACTGTATGCTT